TTTTGCAGTACGCGGGCCTCTCACTGTTGTGGCCTCTCCCGTTATGGAGCACAGGCTCCGGACGCGCAGGCCCAGTGGCCATGGCTCACGGGCCCAGCCGCTCCGCGGCACATGGGATCTTCCCAGACCAGGGCACAAACCCGTGTCCCCTGCATCGGCAGGCGGACTCTCAACCACTGCGCCACCAGGGAAGCCCTAGGACATCCTTTTGATTGTGTTCAAAATCAACTCATTTTTAGAAAGCTTATATTAACTTCATGAATGCAGAAATAAATGACTTCTGGAACCCATTAAACATTTTTTAAAATCTCTATAACCCTGGAATGTAATGCTGAATTATATCCTTTATTGAGCACCATCTATATTTTAATATTTCCTAACTGTGAAATTGGATAGGTTACTTAACTTCTCTATGCCTCCATTTCTTTATGTGTAAAATACTATAATGGTATAATAATGATCAAATTGTAAGTGATTAAACACATGTAACTCCCTTTGGACAGTATCTGATACTCAGTGTTATTATCATTATTATCATCATCATCATTATTATCATCATTATTAATGCTATTAGAGAAGTCAAACGGTAGGAATATTTTATAAGTACCGTAGAAAGATGTAAACATTCTATTACCATCTATCCCCCCCCTTTTTTTTTTTTTTGCGGTACGCGGGCCTCTCACTGTTGTGGCCTCTCCTGTTGCAGAGCACAGGCTCCGGATGCGCAGGCTCAGCGGCCATGGCTCACGGGCCCAGCCGCTCCGCGGCATGTGGGATCTTCCCAGACCGGGGCACAAACCCGTGTCCCCTGCATCGGCAGGCGGACTCTCAACCACTGTGCCACCAAGGAAGCCCCCCATCTATCCCCTTTTGAACCCAAATAATTTATTCTATGACAAGAGCTTTAGAACACAATAAGAGCATGAAGGCCTCTGTTTTAGAGCTCATAAATTTTGCTGCACCAGAAAATTCATACTGGAAAGAAACTCTATGGAAGAAATTTCTTTACGGTTGTAGAGCTTTTTTATAAAATCAAGGAGAGGTGATTTTTCTACAACAAATTACAAAAGCAGAAGTCATTATTCCACATTTTCTAATTACTACTTTAAGGATAAAATAATTTACCAACAAAATGATAGCCAAGTTAACACCATTAAAAAAAACCCTATAAAATATTGTCTTAAATGAGAAATCAAAGCAAAATTTACCAACTACACTTTTTCCTCATTATCTGAACCTAATCTATTCCTGATAACAGGTTGAACAGTAAATTTTCAGATGCCCAAACTTCAGAGCCTACCTACATTCCATTACATCAAATGGGAAAAATAATGTTTCCAATGCATTCAAGTACCCTAACCAATTTTCCCAAACATAATTTAAATTCAAGTTAAACCACTTACATGAATTCTCTCAGAGATTTCTGAATAATATAAAACATTTAAAACCCAGTTAACAAGTAATTAATTTAGCAGACATGTTTGTGCATGCAATTATTTTGAACATTATAAAGTATGAATTATGTTTTTCTTCTACACTTCAAGGAACAGATACTATGACGATATATAATGAAATGCATTAGTACATAATGGAAATAAATAATTATTAAAATAAAAGAAAATAATAATAAAAGTAAAATAAAAGATACTGATAGAAGAATTGATACAAAATTTCCCAAGACAATACTTTTCCATACGCGAGGCACTCTGCTGTTTTCTATTACATAGTCTGTAGTGAACACTGCAGCCCACTTTGTTGTCTTCACAGCTTAATATTCATTATCCCCACTCTAAAAAACACTGGTTTTACATATATATTACAAAATTATAATCTAAATGTTAATCCACCATTTTTTAAACAACAAGAACAAAAAAGATAAGTGTGATTGAGAACCATTAGAACACTCTGAATCATTAGTGTAACCACGGTGATGCCAATGCAGTCATGCATTCTCCACTCAGATTAGACAAACTATGCCATCATTGGTCAGTTGTTTACAATTCAGGGACTACCATTATTGCCCAACTAAATTTAAAGAAAATGTAAATAATGGAATGTAAGTAGAATGTTATGTGCTACAATGATAATAGGTTATTGATAATAACTCTGACAAGTAATATATATGCATGTTAGCAGCCTTTTGCAGAAAATACCCAGAACCAGATTTTCCTAAGATACATTCAAGAAATAATAATCTCCAAAATACCTTTGGAGAAGAAGTGTTCTGCCTCATTGCATATAAGGCCATGAATAACCAAATTTTCTTATTGGCTTAATGAATTCCACTTTGAACAAGCCAAATTAAAAAACTGTAAGAAGTCCCACAATAAAGAAAATATTACCTTTGTTTAACCCATTGTTTCCCAGTCCTGACCATGAATCCCTTCTATTCCATAATACTTAATATTTTGTGTTGTGAACACACTTCGAGAAATCTATCCTTGACCAAAAGGAATAATTATGAGGAAATTTAAGGCATAATTGCAGTTATTTAAATTTAGTGGGTGGCATAATGCTTTTCTGTTCTACAATCAGTCACTAAACTATACAGGGACAATCCTTCTAGCTTAAATTTTCACAATCGTTTCCCTACTCTGTCATCTAGGGGTCAATTTAGTAAGGTTTTTATTCTTGATGCTGTTGTTACAAGATTGTTTAACAGGAGAAACTTGAATGAATGCTAATTATCTCAGCACTGTTATGTTTATTTCATAAATCAAATTTTAAAACTTAGGGTTTACCTTTTAAGGTAGTGGGAGGGGATAGGAATGTACACTAATCAAAGGATTATTAAAGACAAACGGAAGTCATGGCTGCAATATTGGTTTATTTGCTACTTTAAGATATATTGATACCATCATAACTGTTCAAAATTAAGCCTTATTTCCCTTACATGCATATAATTATTTTCAAAAGTCATTACATTCCTCTTACAACATTCCATATTAAAGTTTATGCCATACCAAAGAAATAGTGCAAAAAATTAAAAAATAAATCACCTTCACTATCTCTCAACCATCTACTGTTAAAACTTTGGTTTTTATTTTTTATTTCCTTCTTTTTTCAAATATGGCCCACATCTTAATGTAATAAGAGTATGTTTTAAGGGATAAGTACCCATTTATCTGTAACTTGCTTTATTTTGTTTAAACTTAAAAAAAAATATATATATATATATATATTTATTTGGTTGCACCAGGTCTTAGTTGCAGCAGGCGGACTCCTTAGTTGCGGCTCACTGGCTCCTTAGTTGCGGCACATGGGCTCCTTAGTTGTGGCATGCAAACTTTTAGTTGTAGCATGCATGTGGGATCTAGTTCCCTGACCAGGGATTGAACCCGGGCCCCTGCATTAGGAGCGCAGAGTCTTATCCACTGCACCACCAGGGAAGTCGCTCTTTTAACTTTTTATTGTAGAAAATTTCAAATATATACAAAAATAGAATAGTAAAATCAACAGCCATGAACTTACCACATATTTTTAATAATCACCCATTTTTTGCCTTTCTTGTTTCATCTTCCAAATATTTTTGGCTAGGATATTTTAAAGTCAAGCCAGTATATTGTCATTTGCCCTCTACATATTTCAGTGTGTATCTTGAACAGCTGACTTATTTTACAGATTTTATTAATTATAGTTGGTTTATTTGAGTAGGATTTAAATGAGGCCTGCACATTGCATTTGGTTGGTATGTCTCTTGTGCACCTTGCTTTTCTTATTAAAAATGCCTACAATAAAACAGGAACATTGTAACAGCAATGCCATGATATATCCTACCCATTTCCCCAAAGCTGGGTATTCGGGTTATTTTTCTTTTTCTTTTTTGTTTGTTTGTTTGCAGTGTACAACCAGGAGATTTTTAAATTCATGGTCATTTGTGGGGGTTTTTGTTTGTTTTTTGTTTTATGGTATGTGTGTGTGTGTGTGTGTGTGTGTGTGTGTGTGTGTGTGTGTTTATTGGAGTATAGTTACTTTACACTGCTGTGTCAGTTTCTGCTATACAGCAAAGTGAATCAGCCATGCATATACATACATCCCCTCTTTTTTGGATTTCCTTCCCATTTCTAGTTCACCACAGAGCACCGAGTAGTATTCCCTGTGCTATACAATAGGTTCTCATTAGTTATCTATTTTATACATAGTAGTGTATATATATCAATCCCAATTTCCCAATTCATCCCACCTGCACTTCCCCCTTGGTATCCATACATTTGTTTTCTACGTCTGTGTCTCTATTTCTGCTTTGCAAATAAGATCATCTTTACCATCTTTCTAGATTCCACATATATGCATTAATATACCATATTTGTTTTTTTGTTTTTTTGTTTTTTTGCAGTACGCGGGCCTCTCACTGCTGTGGCCTGTCCCGTTGCGGAGCACAGGCTCCGGACGCGCAGGCTCAGTGGCCATGGCTCACGGGCCCAGCCGCTCCGCGGCATGTGGGATCCTCCCGGACCGGGGCACGAACCCGTGTCCCCTGCATCAGCAGGCGGACTCCCAACCACTGCGCCACCAGGGAAGCCCCTCATATTTGTTTTTCTGACTTAACTTCACTCAGTATGACAGTCTCTAGGTCCATTCCCATCTCTGCAAATGACACAATTTTGTTCTTTTTTATGGCTGAGTAATATTCCACTGTATATATGTACCACATCTTTATCCATTCCTTTCAGGTTATTTCTTTGTTGCTGCAAACCAGTGCAATAAATATCCTTATATGCTTATTTTTGCATGTTGGTTTTTTATTTCCATAGAATATATTCCTACAGATTAGACTGCTAAATCAAATTATGTGTACTTTTTTATATTAAAAGATTATGCCAAAT